AATCCATTTCATCAGCTCAACCTTATACAGTCCTCATCATTGCGGACCGGTGGGGCGTGTCAGCCAGTATGAGTGTGCACACTGTTGAAGCCGTTCTCAGCCTTTTGTTGAAACGCGTATGCGACAAAAAGTGGTAGAAAACGAGTAATACGAAGGATATAATACAGTAATGTCACTTGCCCGCTTCAACAACTGGTGCAGAACGACTTTGGCACCGCGCCAAACGCAGCCGCACTGACACGCCCCACCGGTCCGCAATGATGAGGACTGTATAAGCGTTGTTATGAAGAACAATGCCAGGAAAAAGCCTCTGAGAGCATCCTATGTGATGCCTAATGCGCTAAACAAAAGGATGCTGATTGGCAACATGTTGACGGGCCGGAGGTTCTGCGTCATTTTGTCTTCTTCAGGGGCACAGGCACTCATTTCCCGATGGATTGAATGGCTCACAGAGCACGTTGAAATCTTACTCAAGTACATCCCACCCTTGTAAGGGGTGGATCGGCGGACAACGGCTACGTATTTCTGCACAGGGTTAAGCATTACGCCGCGGAACTTTGGGGACTTGTACAACCCTCCCCCTCCCCCCCCCCCCTTAGTGACTGTGCAGTGCGTGGAGGTATCCGCTGTGTTCGTCAGAATGTAGCTGTATATGTTGGGTGTTATGCGAATTTTAATTCGAATAACTATCTGAGCATCTAGGGAGCATTTACCAAATCAATCGAACAAAAGAAAATTGAAGGATTAGTTTCTCAGAAGTAACTGTAATGCACAAAGTGGAACTTTATTTCGAAGTGGCGCCGTCTGAACGAAACAACGTAAAGTCGAGACATTGAGCGTATTGCGGCTGCGCCACGTCGCCACATGAAAATTGAGCGTTACTGGATCGTTGGACCCGCATATGTAGTATTTTTTGAAAGCGTCTTTCGCAAAAGAGTAAGAACTATTGTATGTTCATCAAGTTTGCACGACGACTTCTGGCTAAAAAATAACGGGGAGAATTTTGGGCAAATGCGAGTTCTTCCCGTTTCAATGGAAATATCTTCGTTCTGACATAGCGTAGAGTGGACATTTACACTGCACTGAAAACTAGAAGGCTCTCTCTCCAGAGAAGCACAACAGTTTCGCTGTAGCAAAAAAAAGCTCCCGTTGCGGAAATCACAAAAATAACAGGAAAAATTCTGGCGAGTGTGTGGGAAGTTTTTTTTTAAAACAATTTCAAGAGGCCATAACTTCCTTAAGGCAGTACCTAAAACAGACTGAAAGTGTTTGGAAAGTATGGGATTTCTCTTTCTCATACCGTTTGACATATTCCTTGTAGCTGAATTATAGCAAAGTCGCCCGTCGCGAATATCCATTTGAAAGTCAGCTTCAGCTGCAGCATGAGGATCTCCCCCTTCAAAAGCCCACATCTCTATCCAGAACGCTGTCAAGGCTTGCCGTGGCACAGCTCACTTAATGTAGTGAGTATGAAACTGCGCACTAGGAGCGCTGATAACATCTTCATGAGGTGGCGCTAATGTGTTTGACTAACCTCGTAATATCATCACTCATCCCAAGTACATCCCTGCTGCTATGAGTACTGTCTCTGCAGATACGATCGCTACCGAACGAGCCAATGCGACCTGTCCAGCATTTCCGCGAGGTATGCTTGACCTCCGGAATTCCATGCTGTGATCCCTGCTCGTGGCTGATTCACCTCTTTAAGGCGTGATTCACTAACAGTCGTTAAGGCTTCTGGCATGGTCGCCTTTTGGCGAATACCTATGCAACTCAGATAGGCGAGGAAGATACAGCTTCTGGCAAGAAGCACCGAACATTGCGAGAAAATGTGAGCGAACTCAGGATTGTGGGTTTTTTTTTTTTTTTAGAGGATGGGACTACTTAGAGTATATGTGAGCCACTTATCTTTGTGAAGCGCTGATAAGTGAAGAACCATAGATACCATCTGGACAAGGGGTTGCAGAGAGAAACATGAGACTGAGCCATTCAAAGAGATTATGTCTAAGTCCCTTGTTTATACGGATCTGCTTCTCTTTAGCCCCAGCTACAGATATTTACTGTGTGGATGGATATTTACACTCTTAGTATTCGTGTGGGATCGAAGTGACCCCGCTGACGACAAACCTTTCGAAGAAGCAATTGTGGGATCGAACTGACCCCGCTGAGGACAAATCTTTCGAAGAACAGGTCACAGATTGTGGGCACATATTGGTGCCATTAGCTTTCTCTTCAATCAAAAAATGAGTACGGAAAAGAAAAGAATGGCGAGTAGGTGCGGCTTAGAGCTACCACTGGAGGGTCACCTGAAAAGGTTAACTCAAGGCTTAAACATTGCCTTTTTTGCAATCTATTTCCGAAATGCTCACTACCATCAGTCTTGACTGCAAACATGGTCCTTTCACAAATAGAGGCACCCCCATGGGCCGTGTCTCTTGCGCGCTGCCCCTTTCTTTGGTGGACCCCTACTACAAAGGTGGCAAAGCGGAGAAACGCGCCAATGAGAATCGCACAGGTACGAGCGAATCCGCCAAGATGACATGTGTGAAATATGTCTTTAGGTCCATATAACAATATGTCGTGTTTTATTGGAAGAGAGTTATCTACCCAAGTTTGACTAGATAACGTTTAGGAAGTCCAAGACTTGAAGAGGAAAACGCTTTTTCATTCTCCTTTTTGATAGTTAATGTCCTGAATATTACTTTAATATTGACAAATTTCAGCATGCTTGTCAAAGTTCTATATAATAAGCATAACTGTCGCCTCTGTCTTTATTATGATGTTGTCCTCTGTGGCAATTATTCTGGTCCATCGCAGCGACATTGCTATACTACGTGATCTTACTAACAAAACTGGTGTATCGACAGTCACCTACACACTTAGCCTCAAGTTCCAGCTCGAAGAGAATGTCCGAGTGACTAAGGTCTGTCTGTATAGCTTATATTTACGGGTTTTAATGTTTACTATTTAGTTTTGCTTGAATTTTCGCCTGCAAATTTGGTGCACAATGGCGTGCTAGGGTCTATAACATCAAGTTAATGCACCTGTCTCGCATCACTGCTGTGTCTGAATTGTTTACTGCCCAGAATATACCAGTTAGGCGTTATATTAGGATCTCATGAATGACGCAAAGATAGACATAATTAGCCTTGCAGCCGCGATATATTCTGCAAGGCTTCACATGATACCGTACACTGAATATGGAAAATGGGGTCTTATGTTTGCCTAAGGGTGACGAGCTTTGCAGGGTACAGCTTTGATATAGGAGAAATAACTGTGAAAATCTACCAAAGTCAGGTACGATCTCCTTCCACTTCCCAACAATCAAGCAGGTCCCCTCCACCTCTGTGGCTGTCTCAGCGATGCTGTACGTTGGTAGCTAAACATCTCCGGTGCCGCCTCGCTCATCACGTTCATTCGTAGAGGCTGCCTGGAAAAGCGTTTCGGTACATAACAACTGAAGCAACCAGCTGATGGCACCCATTTCACTTTATACCAAAAACCTTGCACCGAGGAGCTAGCCCCGGATGGGCATAAAGAATGCCTCACGCGAGATCGCAGCGCAAACGTTAAGCGTAGCTCCTCCAGCTTGTAAGCTGTCGCCCAGAAAATTTGATTCCAGGAAGTGAAAGCAAGTGGGATCCGGAAAGTTTTTTGGTGTACGAATGTGGCCTTTGCAGATGTCAGCAGCTTAGGAAAGGCGAAGGGTCAAGCTTAACAACTTTTCCATAAACTCAAGAATGTACATA